ATAAATGCGGCCATAACTAGTATATTTTTAAGGTGTTATTAAAAACAAATAATACTCACAAAAGCTTATAAGATTGCCGTTCTATCGATACCTTATATGCCATGTTTCATCCACCAACAACGCCACGACATCGATGAGAAATACCATGCAACGTTTCCACACGGGCATTTTCTTCGAAAAGGATAGGAAGTTAATGAATTAAATAATTAATTCTTTTACTTAACGCATTATGTTTACCTCTTTATTTGTTGTATGCAACAAGTATAGACCTTACTAATAATGACTGTTTGGTTGTCACACCTGTGCATGTGTCGTGCGAGGTACAGCGGTAACTAAGGTAAATTACCGAGAGTCGCGATTTGCGGGGTGATTCGGAATACCCTAAATGACTGTGGTCCATTGAATTTCTACTAGTAAATCAACCTGTCAAATATAACATGGGCCCACATTATACGACTAAATTCGTTTCATGAATGAACTGGTTCTTAACAAATATATGTACAGTATACAATATCTTTTCTTTAAAGCTGTTTGTTTATTATTTTCAACCACAATCTGCAGTACATGTATAGTTACACGAAATGCATGCACAACGTCGCTACACCTGTCAATCAAAATCACTCGATATTGTGAACTCAGTCTGGTGCTACGGTAGCATTTCCGAAGTGATTCAAAATATTCTTTCGGCTAATTCTAATTTTTCGCGTTGAATAATAATATTTTGGAACAAAGTTGGAATTAAGGCTGGAGCTGCATGCTGTGACTTTATCACACCTGCAGTCTGAAGTCTTCTCTTCTTACATGTATGTGAAGCATCTGTTGAGTAATGAATCAGAGAGCATAATATGCGGAACAGGTTTGATTGAGATTTTTACTTTTTCTTTAAGATAAAATGATTAATAACATAATTTATACATCTAATAGATACATATAAATGTACATGTATAGCTTTTTAAAAACAAGAATCTGTAATTGAAAATGTGAAAGTGAAGAGTTTAGGTAATAGTTCTTAACCAAAATTTAATGACAGTTCATTCCTTCCTAGTCTCTATATAACTTTTAATTACGGCCGTGCCCTCTCCCCTTCAATTGATGTCTTATACATGCTTTTAAATTCTGTTTATGTATCAAGAAATTTCCACAGGTACTTGTGGACAGGATCCTCCCCCCCCCCCCCCAAATTCAACCCCGATGTTTGTTGGACATTTTTTTTCCCACAAATTATATTTATTACACTTATTCATCATGTGTACCATAGGAAAAAATCGACTACAAGTACCTATGGAAATTTCTATTTGCCCCCCCCCCCCTCCCAAAAAAACTGAAATTGCTTTCTACGGGATTGACAACAGGTACTTGTTGACAGACACCCCCCCCCCCCCCCGATATTCAACCCCGGGGCTTGGACATTTTTTCCACAAATTATATTTATTGCACTTACTTATCATGTGTACCATATGAAAAAATCGTGAAAACCCCAAAATAATCGTTCCACACAAAAATGCCTCACTATGTATAGTTAAAACATTAAATTTTCATATTTCTTGATGAAATTAACATTAAAAAAATCAACACAAAATTAATACCGAATTACATATCACTTGAATTTATCATAAAGCAGAAAATCTGTTCTGCGGGCTTCAAGGCCAGCTCAGGAACCTAAAGATATCCTCATTTTCCAAGTCCAGTACAGAACGTAAAATAAATGAAATAAATCACACGATCACTGGGATGAACTCAAAGAAAGAAGACTCTTGAGGAAAAGATATTTTGGTTCGAATTATAGACTGAAATAAACCGATATTCTCTTTTTGCCACTCTTTCCTGGTGCCCTGGGATTCTGAATGTAGGATCAGTATTTTTTTCACAGGTCCGTTGTACGGATTGTACGGGGGGGGGGGGGGGGGCAGACCTTCTGAAAATAGTCTTTTGCTGTAGTTTTAATATGTAAATTTTGATTTAGTTGCTGCTTGCCCCCTCCCCACTCTTTGTTTCTCTACGGTCATACATAGGCGAATCCCAGCAAAAATGTAATGACCTCCCCCCCCCCCCCCCCCCTCCAACACACACTTTTTTTTAATGTGTATTGCGATAGGACTTAAAATTGGAAAACATTTTCTGTATATCTCTACATCGAAAAATATAAAACAAATATTTTTTTTTTATATTTCCTTTTTAAAACAACATAGATAATTATGCATAGCTAATTAAATACTGAATTAAATATTTATCTTTGCAGACAATATGCTCTGGGTTATAGAACATGATGTGAAAGCGTATCGTAATGCACCTTGTAATCCTTTGGATTTTCAGATTTAAGGCCAATGCGAAAACCCAAAGACGCCGACATTTTTTTATGCTACTGTAATCGAAGATCCGGGGGGCATACAGTTTTTGTCCTGTCCACCTGTCTATTTGTTTGTTAGACTGTGTTAGCCTCTTTGTCCGCAAAAACTTTAACTATGCCCATAAAATTTGATTGGTTGGAACTACTGCTTTCATATTTCTTATGTGTATTCCTAGTAACAAGGACTTCCTTCAGGTACCAACATATTTGACCTCTTGACCTTGAACTTGGAGTTTGATCCTCTTTCGCAAAATTTTACCAAACTATTATAACCTTGGCCAAAACTTTTGAACAGTTGGTGCTAGGACTTTTATACTTCACATCTGTATCCCTTGTGATAAGTCTCCTCCTTGGGTATAAATATGTTTGACCATTTGACCTTGACCTTGGAGTTTGACCAACTTTTAAACAACTTTAGCCTTGACAATAACTTTTGAATGACTAGTACTAGGGCTTTTATATTACATAGGTAATTTTCTTGTAACAAGGCCTGTCATTGTATACCTATATTTTGACCATTTTACCTTGACCTTTGAGTATGTCCTACTTTTGAAAAACTTTAACCTTGGTTTTAACTTTTGAACAGTTGGTGCTAAGGCTTTTTTGATACCACATGTGTTTTCCTTGTAACAATTAAGCCCTTCCCTCAAGTACAAACAATTATGATCCCTTGACCTTGGAGTTTGACCTTTTAAAGAAATTAACCTTCGCCATAACTTTTAAACTGTTGCTGCTGTGGCTTTCATACTAGTATATATTTCACGGTATATTCTTTGTTCAAGACCTTTATTTGGGTAATAACATTCTTTTTTATCTTTTGATCTTGACCATGGAGTTTGACTTGCATTTGAGAAACTTTAACTTTTGCCATAAGATGCCATATGGGGGCATCAGTGTTTCAAAAATCACACGTTGTTCAGTATCCAAATCGGGCATAAAACATTTACAATGATCCTTTAAAGCAGTGAGTTGAACCTAATAAATTACGACTATAGAAATTATGATAATTTATTTCGATGTATGGTCTAAAAAAAAAAGTTTATTATACCTCTGTGAAAACTAGCTTACAAGTGAAAAATCACTAGTAAAATAGAATTTGATTGGCCGAGAAAGTCACGTGTCCATCATGTTTGCTCTGCAACAAAACGTCGTGTTTAACGATTGTGACGTCACAATTAAACGAGTTAGGAATTAGATTGTTTATAGCGACGCTGCTAACTTCGTTCGCGCGGTAACAACAACTAAAAATTCACCCCAAAAAATCACCTTAATTAATAGAATTGCATACAGATAGTAGATTAAACGTTCTTTGTTAAAATGTTTGCACTTTTCAAAATTCGTTTATGGAAATACAGCTAACATACGTCATGAGACGCCACAGTCTAGACGTTCCAAATGTCTTGTGCTGTTTGAAGAGGCGGATCTTAAAATTAAGTGAACAATGCACTCGCCCCAACGGTCGCACCGTCAACATATTATCGTTGATTGATTGTGTCGATTTAAATGTGTAAAAATGTAATGGTGGTGTTTGAATGTTACTGGTGTGATCACACAAACTTGTCACGTAGGAATTTTTTTTTTAATGAAACGAGGCTATTGGTGTACCTGTAACTTACATATCTTTCATATCGTTCTCATCAAATGCATGTTTGCTTTATTCATTGGATCTCCTTTGTAATTCCTGCATTTTGGTTAATTCGGTATTATAAACAATTTATTGCATAATAGTGAGGGAGACATAAAGATTTCTTCGCAAATGAAAAATCATATTTCCCTCGGGCGTTGCCTTCGGGGAGTATGATTTTTCATGGGCGAAGAAATCTTCATGTTGCCCTCTGGGAATATGATTTTTTATGGGCGAAGAAATCTTCATGTCTCCCTCACTATCATGCAATAAATGCAAACTGTGAACTTGTCAAGTGCGAAACACACAAAAGGGCATCGCTGATATCATACAGAGTGTTATCATTGCCTTGATCAGGCCCATAGGAAGCAAATTCAGTTGTTTTTTTTTTTTTGGGGGGGGGGGGGGGGCACAGCCATACACTTTCAGTTGACAGTTACGGGAGCACTACTACCATAAATTTCCTGACAAGCAAAAAAAAAAAAAAGGTCACCAACTACCAAAAATTCCTTGACAAGCAAAAAAATCAGACGTTTTTATTGAGGTGGCACAAGTATAGTATCTATGTCTACTATAGTAATCTATATATCGGCAAAATTATTGGGGGGGCACGCCCCCCCCCCGTGCCCCCCCCCCCTCGGTTTACGGCCATGTTGATTAAATTTAGGGTCACTAAGGAAAGAATGTTTTGACTGGATGAATGGTCTGAAAGAACATGTGTTAACTTGTCGAGTCGGTAACACATAGATAGGGTTTGCTTATAACCAGAGTGTGTCATGGTTTGATGCAAGGTCATTTGAACGAGTTCAAGGTCATCAACGGAGAAACAACATTCCTTAACTGTCTTTCTACTGGTGAGACATTGCAAGTTGATACCCCTTACAAGATTGCTTATAACCTTAGAATGTGGCATGACCTTGACTCAAAGTCACTTCTTCCTGTTCGCAGCTCCAACGGAAGACCTACTCGTTGCTTTGCAACGAGCTCTGCTCTAGTTATTATTATTATTATATATTACTAAATATATACCCCTGTTGAACATTTCGTCGAGGCAGTTATAAAGTTGATATGGTAATTATTTATCGGACGTCCAGCAAATACAATGAAATCAACCCTCTCAGCCGGAGATATGGTGACGACATCAGCTTTGAATGGCACTACGTCATTTCCGTCGAAAGCAACAATCATGAGTGTATGCTGCAAATTAGACCATTTCATTTTCATAGACTATATATATTTTTTTTATATTTTGCTAGAGTATTAAGTCAATGTATTATGACGTCAAGTTATAAACCCCTGGCTTCATCCGGGTGAATGGAAATTGATCATGGAATTTTACACCAGACTTCTTTACCTATCACAACTCGTCTTTCAAATTACAAAGGGAATAAATATTTTGTGGATGTTAAAGAAAATAACCTTCACTACATTCTTTGAAAAGGCGATTTTAAGATCAAGGTGTATCCATGTCTTTTTTGTTTCCAGAAAGAAAGGATCAAATCGATTATGCTTACATCGTCTATGGAAATTTCAAATGCTGACACGATGCCTACGTTAGTCACCCTGAACCGGTAATAACGGTTCTGTGTTACGGTGAAAGTCTCCAAAGGAATATAAGGCTTTTCTGGAAAATTTGGATCGTTATTTATGTATCTTCTTCCTAGAAAAAGTAGAACAGAATTAGACGTTTATGTATATTCATACAATATACCCACCTTTGTTATTTTGATAAACAAAATTTTCGAAGATTTTAGTGTAAATTACTAATATCTCAAAAAGTTATATACTGTAGAATATTTATATGTGATTATTATCATAATAATATCATATTATAACTTTGTCTTATGATTACAATAATCCATATTATTTTTCCAAATGTAGATTGCACGATTATCTACATTATGAATAATTCATTAAGTAACTTTGTAACTTATTTATAAAGCAACTAACTTCAAAATGTTTAAAACCAGTTTAATAATCTACTTTAGTTTCCGAAATTGATTATTTCATTCTGTATTGTGTATAGACTGTCTTTATGTTACTGACTCTTGAAGTTAATGGCAAACGAAAATCTAAAATATAGAACAATTGGGATGATTTCAACTTTTCCATCGTCAACATCCCCTTTTAATTTTGTAAAATTCCACATATCACCTTTATATGGTGTTCACAGCTCTCAACTAGTTTAGTATGCAACAGCATGTTCTGATGCAATCATTTTTCAAAACCGGAGTAGGATATTCCTAATATAAATTGATGTTATAGGATTTTCTACAATCTCCTATCTACTGTAAATCACTTTTTATTCGCGAGAACTTTATTTTCGCGTAATTACGCGAGTCTGTCTGCTCGCGAAAATTTTATTCTCGCGCACATTTGTATTGTTAAAGATTATATACAACAAAGAGCGTAGCTCGCGAAAATTTTGTGTCGCTTATAAATACCAAATAGCTATCTCGTGAAAATAAAGTGATCTACAGTAGACAGATATTCGAAAAATGCTCTGGTCTTTAGAATGATTTTTTTTTTTTTTTTTTTTTTTTTTTTTAAATACATATCATAGGGTCTTTTTGTTTTTTATCAATTATTAGCTAGTCTATCATTTATCATCATTTTTACTAAAGATTAAGTAGTTTGTCTGATCGATACAGAGGGCACATGGCGGGTGTAAGGGGTCGACAAAGGGGTCTAACTCCCTATTTAGGCACCTATTCCCACTTCAGTTATACCCAATGGTCCATATAAGTGTAACACATAACTCATTATGAGAATTTCCAGCAAGGGCAATGAAAATGCGTGCATTCAGTCATTTTGAGGAAATATTGGCATCACATCGGGAAAAGATAGAAGGATTTTTTTTTTCGGAATATTAGTGCAATACTTATGATTAACAGCTACAAACCCTTGACAATCCATATTATTGTCAAATGTTTTATTAAACATGCAATTTTTGATTTCTGTTAAAAAGACTCAAATTAAACTTCCGATAGTGGAATGAAAATCATTCAACCGTTTAATTACCGATTTGGCAAAGTTGAAGATGTCCTAACTTTTTAAGTACAAAGTTATAACCTGCATATAATTTTCCCCTTAAAATAAGGATGTTGCGTTTCTTTTGCGTTTCAGTATAATTTACGTAAGAAATTTTGTCCCTATTTTCAATTCCAAATATTAGTGACAATTCTTCATTAGCATAAAAAGTTTACAGACTTATATTTGCGTATAATATTTTTCTCTCTACATTGATTTTCTGATCTATAATAGGCAACGTACCTTAATGAAAATTAGCAACTTTACAAGTGATTCTACGCAATCCAGTACGATATTTGAAGAGAAAAAAAAATCTTCCAGTCAATAGTGGTGTACACAAAGCTATATATTGTCTACGATTCACCAAATTGTATTAATATTCAAACATACCAAGACCATTTACAAGGCCCACGTGTAATTGGAATCTATTAGAAGATCCGTCTGGACGCACAACTTGTGGCAGACATGTTCCATCATATTCATCCAAACTTAAAAAATAAATATTATCATAAGTATGGGTTCATATAATAAATAAATAAGACTTTAGATAGAGATAGGAGAATCTAATAGGAGTTTATTTTGGACATTTCGTTTCTTAGTTTAGTTCTCTTTTATTGACATTTGAAAGAGTTGATACCTGTCTGTGTAAGTTTGAATTCTTCTTGAAACAAACAACAAAATATCACGATCCATTACAGTGACAGACAATATGCTTAGCATAAAATAAAAATATGTCTCTAATCATTCTATATATATTTTCAATATCATATCCCTTTTCCTTTGCCGTTAATTTCTTGATCACATGTTTCGGTAACTCAGTATTGGACAACCCTAATGTCTCAATATTTGTTCTTACATTTCCTTAAAGTCATACGTTGAGCAGATATTCTAGGCATAAATAAGTATAATTAATTATTTGAATTATTAATTAATTGTAGCATTATTTGCCAGAGAATAATCAAACTTTTCTTGAATACGATTCATCTCATTTCAAAGAATTTTCGAAGATGGGGTTACCAAAGTAAATACATAGCATAGTTTTTCTATAAATTTAAATCAAAACATTTCAACACTTCAAAAGTTAAAAAATGTATCGTATCATCAGTATACATAAACAAATTTACCAATGTCACTAAAGAATGATTTGACTTTAATGTTGGTGTGAATGTTGTTAATTAATTAGAATACAAATCGATATTAATTGCCACATATCTTACAGTCCCAATCCCCCCTTAGGATAAAACTTTTCTAATGTCGCCTTTTTAGTCCAGTCCTGCACGATTACTGAAAATTCTGCATCCACATCAGGTATGGGATCATGCGGAAACATCTGTAAATGAATTAAATCTTTCTTACAGGAATTTGCCTCAAGTGACTAGATGCTTTTGTTAAAGTAAAATTTTGTCACCAAGCAGAAACTGAAACCGTTCATTTTTCTCTTCATTAGATGCTACATGTATAGAGATACTATTGTATCCAGAACTATATAGATGTAACAAGACTAGAGAATGACGTCATGATATCGGATATTTGATTACTAGAGAATGACTTCATGATATTGGATATTTGATTTATCATTTGAATTTTCAATTTGGATCATGATATAAGATACATGTAGCATGAAGAAATGAAACGATAAGATATTTAAAATATGTCATCAAATGATGGTCAAAACTATAACTGCTATTAAAAGTTCCATAACGCGTACTAAAATATCAAATTAAAAACAATGTTCAATAAAATACCTAAAGAAATTACTTAAAATTATGGATTCAAATTATTCAAATTTTTATAAAGTATATACATGTACATATAGGCATCTTTCAAAAAATTGCATTCTATATGTACTTGTACATAGAATATAATAATTCTTAAAATGTGGTCTAACTCAAAATTTCATAAAGTATACTTGTATCTTAAATTCACTTCTATATTTACAGGAATTACTTACAATAGGTGGTCTAATTCTAGGCAATACAATAAGGGCACCTGCCAATCCGTCATTTCTCATGCTATTGGTGTGTGCATGATACCAGTGAGTGCCAACAGGAGTGGCAACAAATCTGTGAATGAAAACATATTTATTTGTATTGGCAACTTTCTTAACCCTTGCAAACATCACCTTATACAGTAGAACTCGTTTAGTACCAACATGGATATAGCGAATTTAGATTTTTTGGGGCATTCCCAGCATAAGTTTTAATAATTTCGTCTATGATTTTATGGCTATAACGAACTCTGATGTGACGAAGTGAAGGATATAGCAAATAGATTTTGTAGTTAAAAAATAATGAAATATACATCCTTTAGCTTGGATTTTTAAAATCTTGAAGTTTATACTATTGATATGACATTTTTTTATAAATATGTGAAATTCAAATCATCAGAAGACTTTAGTTCTTCGAGGTTAGATTTGTATTTAATACTTCTATGAACATATTCGGTGGTCATGATTTAAGAAATTTAAGAAATAAGAATTCGCTATATATACTTCTACTGATTCGTTATACGTTTATAAAGAATTGCGGATTTAGCAAAGAAATTTTACATGTCCTCAGTACTGACGTATAGCTATTATCGAGGTTTACTTTAATACTTAATCTAGCAAATTATCATAACTACTTGAGTCAAAATAGGAATGAAAAAGTGAGCTAATGTAAATTAGATATGTTGCAAAAATTAGAATTCCCTGTTGTATGATGTCAAATATATTAATATTAAGAAAATCAGCATTGACCATTTACAATCCATTTTTGTTATCTCAACAGTTAAAGAGATTCTGTATTTAAAATAAGTTAATATCATTTCAGTATTTTCGTTTATAGTTAAATAATTTAATTCTGGTTGTAACACGCCATTTGATTGGATAAAAAAAAATAGTTTATATCGTTTGATCTGTGTTGCCTACTTCATAATGACTTAAGTCAAAAACAAATATATTTCAAAATTACGCTTACCTGTACTCAAATGTTTGTCCTGGTAAAATGGGACACTGGGTTATCATATCTACGCCGTCCATAAACGGTGTACCTCTGTGAACCATGCCATGCCAGTGAATAGTCACCGTTTCAATTTTCAGATGATTGTGCACACGAACAGAGACCTGTAAATATTTGATTTCATCCTTTTAATGAAAATGTTTAAAGTATGCATATATATGCCAAAGATCCCATCGAATAAACATCATCATGACAGTTTCTCCCCCATTCAGAAATGGTTTGAACGTTTAGGTAAATGTATAGTTTTAAAAAAGTAAAATTATTACCTTTTCGAGTTTTCATATAGTGATAATTTACTTCAGTATTGTTAACTGACATGATGATAACGGAGTAATCATTGATATAAAACTGTAGAACTTTAAACGCAATTGCCAAAAGGGCATAACGAGGATAGGGTCTATTGAACTTTGAAAGAAGGCATGATTTACTGTGATTTTAGATAGGAATTTTATTGAAGATACAGTGTTGCTATATACCTTATCTAATTATTAAAGGTTTTTGAAAATACATTCTTTGTATCAGTTAAACCTAGGGTTTGTATGAAAAAAATAAAAAAAAAAAAACATCTGAAATTTACTGAAACAAAATTTAAATAAAATGAAAATAAGATAAGGCATGATATCTACATGTACTCTGTTTGCGTTAGATTTTTATTTTCTATTCCAATAGGTACGAAAAGTTACACAATTCATCTTTTTTTTAAATTATAAAAACTACTTTAGTTAGTATGTACTGATTAGACACTCTAACAATACTATCAGGGTACAAGATTATGTCAAGTGGCATTTACGAATTGGAAATGGCGATCTGTGAAAGACTAATATCTTAGAAAATCTTTTGAGAAAGAAATAGAAAAGGAAAAACTGGAAGTAGGCTAGGTATAACAAGCAGTCACATAACAGACCGCCATAGAAGTCTAAGTTATTAGGTATGTAAAATTTGACTTCTTCTGAAATCCAACTTTCTCTGAAGATTGCCCTTTGCAATTTTAGTACTTACGATTTGGTCCTCAAAGACAACAACATCTGGTCCGGGAATCTGACCATTGATAGCGTATACCATTCTGTAATTTCCATCTCCAGGACTGACATTTTGTTTGAATTCTGTCGGGAAGAAACATTATATGACATTATTTCTGTATTGTACTTATATAAAGAGGTATTGGGGATTTCCTGTTCTCTTAAATATACTTTCATTGTACTCTACTATCGTAGGAAATTCAGTTTATGTCTCAATGAGAAATTTATAAAACTCTACGTACATGTATTTGGATATCTCATTGAAATATTTGGTACATAACTCATTGCACATTTTTCTTAAGCGCTTTTTTTTCTCAGATTGTCATTGCAGCCAAAAATGATCAGTCTGACATTGTAGTTATACCTTTGAATAGCATTCATAGATCTAAACTGCTAAAATTTTCGTGAGACTTCGCTGCAACAGACAGAAATAGTCGGAGGAAAGCGAAAGCACACAAAGAAAACTATAACCAGAATGGATCTTGATTCTTTCGACATGGCGAAAAAATCATATCTGTATCTTAGGGCAATCGGACATTAAGAGAATATTAAAATTTGCTAACTCTGCCGCGGATTTGGAAAAAAAATCTATATTTATTTCATTATCCATATAAACATGTTCCTTTCCGATAGGGTCAAGTCGTCCAAAAGCATTGCACAGCGTTTTGCAGAAATGTTCCTCACCTGTCAAGGGATAGAGCACACCCCAGAACTGTTCAGTATAACAGAAATCATTGTTTCTCAGTTAAGCATCATTTCTGATGATCAGGATCATGGCAGTGACAGTTTAGTACAATAATTTAGTACAATGTAGCTGCCTTTCAATATTTCATTTTTATTTATTTGTTTGTAGTATGCATATTTTATTACATTTTCAACAGTGAAATACTGTAATTAATTTATTGAATAAAAGTGATATTCTGACACAGTGTGAAAGGATATCAAAATGATATTCTCACAGTATGAGAGAATATCAGATGCGTGGCAAAACTCTCGATTTTTCTTCCCTTCACGAAGAGTGCAAAAAAAAAAAAAAAAAAAAAAAAAAAAAAAACTCCCTGGCTTGCCATAAGATAGAGAGAGAGTCAATGAACCATCCTGACAGAGACTCAAACTGCCAAAGTTTCTCCAAATATGTTGTTAAAAACCATGTTTACAACGCAGCTCTGTTAAGGCTTCATAAAGGGGGAGAGTCCTATTTTATACGGGAAAAGTTTACTGTGACATCACAAAATACTGCAATTCCTTACAATAACAGAAAAATGAAATAATTTGCGGTTCCAAACGTCATCATGGTAAAATTTGACGCATATTATGTGCGGTGAGAGGCGGATCAAGTGATTTCTTTCACAGTGAAAAATGCATTTTATTATTAAATAGAATATTATTTGCAAATCATAGGTAGACCAATAATACAAATTTGAAACGTTTGTTTAGTGCCATTGTTTAAAAACTATCGATAGAATGTATTGAATTAATTCTACCGTGTTTTTATCTACAGGGTGTGTATGTTTCACGCCGATGTGCCTCATTAAATCGCCTTTTCGCAAGGGCATACACTTAGGGTGAGTTAACCATGCATCGGACACATACCTTGCTGCGGACTACCTTAAGAAATAAACTTTCATTGAACCTGAGTCTCCCCGTGTTTTTACTTGTTTCTGTCTTAAAGGTGAAGAATTAAACTTTTTAATGATGCCGATTTTTATTTTCATGTTGTGATAAGAATACCACAACAATGGCCTTGAAATTACGTCATATTTTGCATCATCAAAGGGGAGTAGCCAGAATTTTACGATTTTGCAATTTTTAGAGTTGTCGTTCTTTTAAATAGACGTCAACGGAACGGGTCGGACCTTGGTAAAAATTGTCAATAGTTGATAATATTACAGAAGAAATTTTTCAAAAATTTTACTTCAATGTTTGTATAATATATTTTAGAGTTGTTTTTAACTAGTATGTTTATTTCACCTTACATCGGACACGAATTAACCATGCATCGGACACTTTCCGATGCATGGTAATCACTTTCATTTTCATGTAAAACCCAAATGACAGCTGTTGTTTACGGAAATAGAAAATAGAAACTCTAAATCTTCAGTGAAAATACAAATTATCGATATTTGACGACTAGAAGTGGACTCAATTTATTTCTTTAAACTAGATGATTATAACCCACGAGACAAAGGCGCGAGTTGCCATATTACTAGCATTGTAAAGCCTCTCTAAGGCGATGTGATGCAACTAAAATCTCTTCATATTTGTGGATTGAAATAGTCATTAAAATTTAATTAGAAGACTAATTTTAAAGCACCGAGATCAAGGTACATGTATGATATTTTTCTGGTTTAAATATCGTATGTCCGATGCATGGTGAATATTGTCCAATCCATGGTGAATTCTGACTTATTTCGAAAAAATCGGTTTTTAATAATATTTTCTCAATTAATAGGGCACGATTGTGTCAAAAATTTATATTTTAACCACATACTACATGTTAAGTTCCATTTTGATAATGTTCGGTCGGTAGCGATATCGCTAGAACTTGTTGGAGTGCAAGGGTGTCCGATGCATGGTGAATTCACCCTAATAGATGTTGACCATTTTTTGAATATACATAACGGACACATTCCTTAACTTGAAAAGTGCTGCTGCTTTCCTGAAATCGAGAGCATAAATTAATAAATATATAAAATACTTGGTGAAGGTCATACATATTTCGACTAAAGTCAGATAACTTGGAATTTAAACTAATAAAATGCGAATTCTATTTAAAGCAGCAGCACTTTCCATAAACTACAAGTTATATAGATACAATCTATTACTTAAATTTTTGATTTTAACTAGGGTATGCCCTTGCGATACTGAAATTTGTTTATGACCTACATATACAGTACACAGTACAAGCATTTGTCAAATGACTGTCAAATAACGTACGTGACCAAACCAAATTCAGTACAGAGCGAGGTATACAATGTTATTTCACATAATATTAAAGTCATGTGATAATACAGTACCTTTACAAAAATAAATTCAGTTTAAAAAGGTATGCATTTATGCTCGTTTATATTCAGCTGATTTCTTCGAAGTACGCCTTAACAATGCTGCGAACATTCCTCAATTGCGTAGCTAAGACTTCTCAACCACTTAACTACGACGTCACAGCCTATGATACTGTGTAACGAAAAGACTGAGGCAAAGAGATAATGAAAGAAAATGCAATACACAAGAAATTCAATGTTTTGTAGATGAATATGGAATTTATTTCACTCGTGAGGCAGGATTTTTTGATATTTTAACTCGTACTTTGCACTTGTGAAAATCCTGTCCCACTCGTGAAATTCCATATTCATCTACAAAACATTGAATATCCTCTATTTATTATGTTTTATTTAAGCATTGAATCATTATTTTTTAAAAGATATAATCATATAACTGCAGTGGTGTGTGCTAACATATTGAGTAAAGCGCGTTAGCTGTTGCAGTTATGAGACTATTTCTTTCAAAAAATAATAATTTAATGCTTAACTCCTTGCCTTGACTGCTAATTTGATTTATATTTCAAAATCCCTGTTTTATCATTTGGGTAAGTTACAATTAATGGTAGAGCCAATGCAACAGTTTCTGTTCAATGTAAACGTGGATTTTGAATTTCGCTTATGACGTTGCACTCGCAGGGCGTTGAATCTTTGTGAGGTCAAAATAAAACGCATAACCTCTCAAAGGTTCAACGCCCTGCGAGTGCAACGTCATAAGCGAAATTCAAAATCCACGTTTACATTGAACAGAAACTGTTGCATTGGCTCTAATATTAATTGTAACTTACCCAAATGATAAAACAGGGATTTTGAAATATAAATCAATTAGCAGTTAACCTTTTGACTCCCTGCCCGTGTTACTGGGTTTTGAATGCCGTAGATCTCCACACATTTTTAAGCAAAATACTTTTGAAATGTAAATATTTGTGATCCACATTGGTCGCACTGATTAAAAATCTTGATGAATTTTTCTAATTATGACTGTTGCAGGATTATCAATCATTTTGTATGAGTTTAATGCTGCTCTTTGTACATGTAGTTCCTCATTTGATACAAGGATAAAGTCCAGAAAGATTAGATTAGCTCTGTTTCAACGCGAAATATAATAAACTGGGATTATTACATTTTGAGTTATTACATTTTCGTCGAAATCAACGCATGATGTAATAACGCAAAATGTAATAACGGGATTTCTGAATAATTACATTTTGCGTTGTGGTGAACGCAAAATGTAATAAGGTACTTTTTGATTGTTAAACTTTGCGTTACTTAATTTTTGCGTTGAGGGCAACGCAAAATGTAATTAAACAAAATGTAACAAAACAAAATATAATTATTTTTGTGTTCATTGCGAAACATCACAAAATTGATTAACACATATAATAATTGGAGAAACTCGCTTATTTAAATAGACAGACAAACCTAAGACTATGAGACAAACGTTACGGCTTTTACGGACATTACTAAATCTAACCAGGTTGGGGGGAAACGTAAATTCCGCTATAATAGTGGTATATCACTATTATAGTGAGATTCCGCTATATTCTCAGCCGTAGTTGTCCTCGATTTCATCAAATAATATACTTGCTGTTTAAAGCGCAAGTTATGATGGGTATAAAAATGGACAATAATAGGCATCCTTACATGTTATGATTTTTATTTAATTTTCTGCCGATGCTTTTAATGATGCAAACACACTTTTTAAAGCGGAAGTTACATTTTAAACATAGCAACCAGTGATTGTGGCAGTATTGAACAAAGACTAACTGTTAATCTCTCTCACACATGTGCACAAATTAGTGCTTGTAATAAATTTCAACCCATGTTGGAATAGGTTTGTCGGTTTTACAGAAGAAAAGATGATTTTTGCCTCCATGGTAACGGATATGGAGGCCCGCTATGACAAAAAAAAGCTCATTACATGTTTACTTTATTCTGATGAAACCTATTTGTATAGTTTAATTGAAATAAATCGTAAACAATGATATACGTAAGATGTCATTTCAACAGGTAATTATAAACATATTATATGACATTAGTTTCGGG